GATTCACATGGCGAATCTTTACATTGCATAAATCCTTTAGGTGCTTTTGACCTCGACCCGGCTGACATGGTTCATGTGCAATGACAGAATCTTTATTGACAAACGTTTGTGCTTTTAAAAACTTTTAATTTATGTAATACTGAAAAATTTCTGGGCCAATGCAAGAGAAGAAGTTATGGCATGGATCAGTTTGGATGCATCCATGCACACAAAAGCACTGAAAAACCATTTTGACAATTATGTCGAGCTCAGTGCAAGCGGGGTCGACAAAAATCCTCTGACCACTATGCATTATGCTTCAAAGCAAAATTAAGATACGGTGCGGACAAACAAAGTTCTTTCTATTTTGACCTTTGACCTCTTGCGACCTGGGCCTTTCATTTTGCGCAAGACAACTTCAAACTCACCATGGAAGAACATTAGTTCTAAAATCATATTAAAATTCATTCATGTATAAAGAAATTATACCCACAAATGAATGGACGTACGGACGTACACACGGACACACGCAACGGACAATCATAACACCGAACTATACGCTTAAAGTGACGACTGAGTCGAGCTCACTGCAAAAATGAATGAAGAAAGTAAAATATGAATTACGTTTAACGGAGATTGCAAGAGGTACACTCAGCGGTTAGCCCATTGGATGGCTTTTACAGCATGGTACTGGACGATAAATTCCCCCAAGGAAATTCGTAGCTATTGTTGCCGAATAATTTGTTGTTATTTCAAGCTGTTCTTGATGGGGATCCGTTTATATTTGGTAACCTCCCATGTTTGAAAGCTTTTCATGTTTGCCTGTGAGAATAGTACGGTTTTCTGGACATCCGTGAACTATAGGTGCTTGATTATCTAAAAATAAAATAAATAATCAATATAATACAATATGAAAGAAAGAAAGTTATGAGATATTATACAATGAAAAATCACGAAAAAGTAAGAAAAAAAAAAACCAAACAAAAATACACACAACTACCACGCGCTATCAAATGCTTGTTGTACATGCCATCTTCGAATATTTAAATCAACAATTTCAACACTGCACAAGGAACATTTATCAAGTTTATTTTTTGCTTTTGAAATCCTATAAAAACAACAGACCTTATTAGTCATTTACCTCGGAAACCTTAACAAAACACATAAAACAATATTTCAAATAGAAAAACATCGGTCATACCCATTTCACAATGTTGACCAGTCCATCCCTGCTTACACTGGCACACATATTTTCCGGGCAAGTCAACACACGTACTATTATTTTGACATGGGCTACTTTTACAATAGGCAGCATCTAAGTCAATTAATGACAAAAAATATATAACAAAGAAAACATGTCCAAAAAGTAAGAAATAGAATTTTCATAGCATATATATAGTTTTGTATTGTTTTGAACGGATATTGATAATAGAATTGATCTATAAATAACACAAAATATATTATACTGCACTTTATTTTGAGAAAGCAAAAACTGTTAGTGATATTTCTTTGCAATTAAATTATCAATTAAAGTTGAAAGAGACATACAGGCTAAATATACGTAATCATTTTACCTGTATTCACATTTAAGGGCCTAGTGTTTAAGGTGTCTGTCTCTTAACCTAGCGATATGGGTTCGAGCTCTACTCGGATTTCGACTATGTTTATTCATATGACAGCAGTACTGGTTGGTTTCAGGAAGCGGACTCGAGAGTGGTTAATATAAGTAGCAAGAAATTATTTCGCAATCGAGCTTAAATAAATATGTTTAAACCATATATTCACAAGCTTGAATATTATACTTTTAACAACGGCTTTGAATTAATACTTAATTAATTAATTAATTAATACCCTACTCATGTAATTTTCTATGTCAAATCCCTTCCCGGCCTTGGACTTGGTGGCGTATTTTGACTATTGTAAACATTTGAGGCCTGCAGAAGACAAACATTGCCAAGATACGGCAAATTATCCACACGTCCGTTGTTTGGTAATAAATCGAAAACGCCAAGACTTCATATAACAGGCTGATGGCTTTGCAATGTTTTTAGGGTGACGGTGGCATTAACGAATGAAGATGAGGTATTTAACCAATTTTTGAATATAAATAAAATATGGTGTTTCCTTTTTCACAATAAAGATATAGTGTAACTCGAGACATTAATAATATGGGAAGCAACTACCAACTAGATAAGTCTTGAAAGTTGATGGTCAAATTGGCAGTTAATCAATCGAAAAACAAATGTGTAGTATGCAAATGTAGAAATTTCATCAAAAACGTGTCGAAATCAGAGAGTTTGTAAACCAAATATTTTACAAAATAAATGCTAATACAACAAATGCACATGCGTTTTCATAAAGACAAAGGAATAGTTTAGAATGGGTTTGAATGTTTTTGATACTGGAAGTTTTAAGTCACTTTTGTTTAATCTGTTTAAATATTCCCTTGATATAAATGAATAGTAAAAACACAAAAGGTCAGTCAAGGAATGTTTAAAAATGATGTATTAACATCTTTAGAAGACAGCAATGTCAAAACTCTAGGTTAGACTGTCGTATAGATTTTCCCATAGGCTTACATTATGAGAAATGGTCCCCTATCCTACCTTGATTTTTCTTGGAGAATGAGATGCCTGACACATAAAATTATCTTGTTATATAGGTCAATGCAACCAAATTGTTTGCAAAATGACTTCAAAAGAAGATATACCCCCCCCCATCCCGCACTTTCATTGCATGATTTTTTCTGCTGATCACAAGACTCGTATACTTTTTATGAGTATCAAATTGTCACAGACACTTATGACAGAGACTTATTTCATTTTCTTAAGAAAACAATAGTGTCAGCTACTAAATTAGTTTTCATATTTAAAAACATCACATTTTCATCTACTCACATCATTGAATCTTGCGGTTTGCAGATAGTCTGATCTCTACCATGGAGCTAAATATATGTTTATATGTCTGTGTCTCTACCATATTTTATTTCGTCTGTCTTACAGAGTCGTGAAAACCAATGACAAACATAAAAAATAGGTTAAAAATAGTTTAATAGCTTAAAGGAGATAAGGCAATGTTTAAATACTGATAACAACTACCTATGCTGTCATGCTTAATACCCTAATATGTGTGATTTTGTTGATTTAGTATAAACAAACGTTTTTGAAATTTGAAACATGTTGGGAGGCCATTTTGGACTTTTTCACCATTAAAATGGGACCCATGCTCATCATTTCTTATATATCCCAAAGTTAGGTTTGTTGTTTTAACTACTTTCAGAATTATTTGTTGTTGTTTTTCACAATTTGACTGGAGTTAATTTAGTTTCTAGTACTACATTTATATTGCATGTATTATCATTTATCATCGATAAAAAGTTGTGGAAATTCCATCTACGTATTGTCATTATTTTACAAAAACATATTCGCAAGATATAATCTGATGACCGATAAATGTTTGACATTATTGATTACATTAAAATGATTTGTCACTGCACAAGTGACATAGATAAAACATGCAGTTTCTAATTTCGTGACCTACACATAGCTTGCATACTTTTGAATTCACTTAATTTCGTGGGCATGAAATTGCTTGGTTTTGTCGAAAAAGAACATATTCGTGGGTTCTTTACACTTGAGGACTTGTTAATGTTTTCACAAGGTTAAATCAGTATATAATGTGATGTAAAGCCATCTTAAAGCAGACATTTAGAAATTCCCGTTTAATCTTCAATTCATGTGTTAGTCAAATTGATTTCCTTATTATATAATTTTATGTTTATATGTTTTGTTAATTACTTTGAATAACTGTTCATTATATTGTTGATATATCATAACCTTATGCATATTACATGCATTGGTTTTGAATAAATCTTAAATCTTGAATTGATTGACCTATCCACGGAAACCACGAAAATGAAGTTCTCATGAAAAAATTATGATTTTGCAATATGTTTCCCGTGAACGAAGTTTAGAAACGACGTACATTTAAATGAAGTTTGAAATATATCAAATGTAACTAGGGTAACTCGCTACATTTACTATTACGTAAGTGCTATTGTTTGAATTTATACCGCGTCCTGACACAAATTAATCGTACACCCCACCCACCACCAAAAAGAAAATATAACATCCCCGCCCCCAAAAAATTACAACAGCATAAAAACAACAGAAAAAACAAACAAACACAGAAGGAAGAAATATTATAAAAAAGCGTTTATTATTATTGTCAAATAGAAAAATATCTTTTCCTATTTACTCCCGCAAAGTTTAACACAGTTATTGTGAAACGTTGTATTTTACGAGTGTAATCAATTATTGTCTGATAACAGTGAAATGAAAAAGAATTGTTTCGATTTATAGAAAATACACAAGTGAGAAGTTTAATTGAATTCTTGAATCCAGTTGTGTTTCCAATAGCAGATGGATTTTCAAGGATTAAAGTATTTAAACTGATAATTTATTATATTTTCTTTTGAATAAGATCAACGCAGCAATTTGTAAAATTAACAACTGCCCATACATACTAGTATCAACGAACGCCTAATAGTATTAATATTGACTGATCGTATCCAATTTGTCTTTTGCATTTTTAGGTAAACTTGTATTACTTTATTTTTTATATTAGAATTGGTAGATCAATAAGTATTAAGTTTCATAGTATGTGATTAAATATGTTTTGGTAGTCGTAAAAACTTCCAAATTGCCCGTAACCCATTATGACGTATATAACGCTTTTTTGAGTTTAATTCAAAATTATGATAACATATATTATTTGACAATATGTCTGTCCATGCAGACATTTTCTCATTCAATTTTGACCAAATCAGATTATTAAATTAACGCCATTTAGCTATCACATTGTTTCCAGTGACAGTTATAACTGCTAAAACAGTTGGTGTTCATCTATTTAAAATATCAAAAAAGAAGCTTAACGGCCATTTCTTGTTCTGCCGTCATACATGAAATAAGTATCACACCCAACACAGATGAGGCACATATCATAATATTTGAAAGCAGAAGCATTATACAATTTTTTAAATTACGTGAAATGGTTTCACACAATCAGCATTCAATCAAAACATTGCCTGGTTTGCATTCGCGTTGACTGTTGACACATAAAGAATTAAATGGCGATTTATTTAATATGTTTATGTAATGTTCACCAATTTTCCGTTTGTCCTCAACGGTTGAACAAGATTCAAACGTTATTCCATTACGGTCAGCGTTTTTCCATGGAGAGAACTCTGCAATAGAAACAATAGATATAGCAATAACAAAGGTAAATTAGTTTTAACGATATTATTATATTATAATATATAGTATTTTATTTATTAATATTATTATATTAATATGTATTGTATGAGTAATTCATGTGTAAATGCCTTAGACTGTATTTAGTGATAAAAAGGCGTTTTTTATTACTAAAATAAAGTAAGATACCATCAATTTCACATTCTGTCACTGAGCTTTGGGGCAACCAGCTTCCAGAAGCACCACAAACGTACAGATCATCGGTGTTGAATCGTATTGGTAAGGTGTAATTTCTTAAACAGACAAACATACACACGTTTACATGATCAGATTTCCATTTGTTACATGCAAGTATGCCATGTTTAGGAGCCTTTAGCTTTTCGCATGGATGTGCTGAAATAAAAAAAACACAAAGGAAGCAAAGATATATGTATATTTTTATAACAGAATTTAAGTTCAATACAATCATGTACACAACGGTCATGAAAGCTTTAAGTCATTTCAGTTTTAACAAGACATACCCAAGGGCAAAATGTCGAGCCCGCATAAGGTTCAGATCAAGGAGAAAGATGTATACATAGGTGAGATGTTCGCAACACACCCTCCTGATACACATGGCGAAATCTTTACATTGCATAATCTTAGGTGATTTTGACCTCTGACCCGGTGACATGGTTCATGTGCATGACACGAAGTCTTATGACAAACGTTTGTGCTTTAAAAACTTAATTTATGTAATCTGAAAATTTCTCCATGCAAGAAGAAGTTATGGCATGGATCAGTTTGGATGCATCCATGCACACAAAAGCACTGAAAAACCATTTTGACAATTATGTCGAGCTCAGTGCGACCTGGGCCTTTCATTTTGCACAAGACAACTCAACTCACCATGGAGAACATTAGTTCTAAATCATATTAAAATTCATTCATGTATAAAGAAATTATACCCACAAATGAATGGACGTACGGACGTACACACGGACACACGCACGGACAATCATACACCGAACTATACGCTTAAAGTGACGACTGAGTCGAGCTCACTGCAAAAATGAATGAAGAAAGTAAAATATGAATTACGTTTAACGGAGATTGCAAAGGTACACTCAGCGGTTAGCCCATTGGATGGCTTTACAGCATGGTACTGGACGATAAAATTCCCCCAAGGAAATTCGTAGCTATTGTTGCGATAATTTGTTGTTATTTCAAGCTGTTCTTGATGGGGATCCGTTATATTTGGTACCTCCCATGTTTGAAAGCTTTTCATGTTTGCTGTGAGAATAGTACGGTTTTCTGGACATCCGTGAACTATAGGTGCTTGATTATCTAAAAATAAAATAAATAATCAATATAATACAATATGAAAGAAAGAAAGTTATGAGATATTATACAATGAAAAATCACGAAAAAGTAAGAAAAAAAAACCAAACAAAAATACACACAACTACCACGCGCTATCAATGCTTGTTGTACATGCCATCTTCGAATATTTAAATCAACAATTTCAACACTGCACAAGGAACATTTATCAAGTTTATTTTTGCTTTTGAAATCCTATAAAACAACAGACCTTATTAGTCATTTACCTCGGAAACCTTAACAAAACATAAAACAATATTTCAAATAGAAAAACATCGGTCATACCCATTTCACAATGTTGACCAGTCCATCCCTGCTTACACTGGCACACATATTTTCCGGGCAAGTCAACACACGTACTATTATTTTGACATGGGCTACTTTTACAATAGGCAGCATCTAAGTCAATTAATGACAAAAAATATATAACAAAGAAAACATGTCCAAAAAGTAAGAAATAGAATTTTTCATAGCATATATATAGTTTTGTATTGTTTTGAACGGATATTGATAATAGAATTGATCTATAAATAACACAAAATATATTATACTGCACTTTATTTTGAGAAAGCAAAAACTGTTAGTGAATATTTCTTTGCAATTAAATTATCAATTAAAGTTGAAAGAGACATACAGGCTAAATATACGTAATCATTTTACCTGTATTCACATTTAAGGGCCTAGTGTTTAAGGTGTCTGTCTCTTAACCTAGCGATATGGGTTCGAGCTCTACTCGGATTTCGACTATGTTTATTCATATGACAGCAGTACTGGTTGGTTTCAGGAAGCGGACTCGAGAGTGGTTAATATAAGTAGCAAGAAATTATTTCGCAATCGAGCTTAAATAAATATGTTTAAACCATATATTCACAAGCTTGAATATTATACTTTTAACAACGGCTTTGAATTAATACTTTCACCACTATTGTTGGTTTTCTAATCAACTTTTGTTTTGTGTGCTTTGTTAATACATAAAGAAATAAGTTAGGACTTACAAATGCATTGCGGTGCTTTGCCTGTCCAATACCCTTGTTCAGTACATGTCCTGTTCTCAAGTGACGTATCAGTCATTCTGAACTGCCTATCACATTTATATTGCACTTGATTTCCATACGTATAAACACTGCCAATAAAACTTCCATTCGAAATTGTACTTGGTCTACCACATGATATCTCTAACAAAAACAAAATTAATGAATATTGTACGTACATGTTCATTTATATAATTTTCAACTTTTCAACTGTTTGTTAGATATTTTAATATAGCAACTTACGGTATTGCATTCATTTTAAATTTTGCGGGAAAATGTCTAAAAAGCATACAGTTTAAAGAAGAACTTTATGAATAAATTACATTTACCAATATCAATGTAATTCACTTACGTTCTTCACAACAATCTCCTCTATTCCCTACCCGGCATCTACAAAAAACCAGAAATTTGGGGTAATACTTGTCAGAACCAACCCGGCCCCCCTTTTTGTAACAAAAAAAAAATATTACAGCCTTGTGTTGTGCCCTTTGATTTAAAAAAAACCCGACTTTTTTAAAATTTCTTTCCCCAAACCAATTTTTATACAAACACCCCATTTTTACATAGCTTTTTCCGTTTTGGGGACACACTGTCCCATAATTTACTAGCAGGCGCTTTTTGGGGTTGCGGAAATCTATTGTCTGCCCAAAACCCGCGTAAACCGCGGCTTTGTGTGTCCCCCCTAAACCACTTTGACTTTGGGAACAATTTTTCCCCACGTTTCCCCCAATTCGCAATTTGTGAAATTTTACATGTACACGAAACGTGTATGAATAGACTTACAAATATAACTGCAACAAGAAACACTTTGTTTTGAAATCCAAATATAATGTTTAATATGTTTAACATGCTTGTGTTCTTAGTTTCCTATGTTATTGCTTCAGTTGTTTCACTCTGTATGTTTTTGTCTGCAAATTACACGTAGATTGTCCGCTTCTCTTTGCATTTCTTACATAAATATATTTGTATATTGTAACTAGGTACATATGACAAAAGATCAAGTCTATTACAAGCCGATTGTCAGATAAATAAAATGTCAATACAAGTGTATAAAATTGTTATCATAGGCTGGGAAACCAAGAGATAAACAATGAAATTCTCTTCTATCGTTATCAATTTAAAAGAAAAACATATGATTTAATGTGACCAAGGTACCAAACGGAACTGACATATCGGTAAGTGGAAATATCTTAATTTTTTTCAGCCTTTTTTATTTATTTTATGAAGAAATGAAGTGAATATATATTGAATTAGAAAAAAATATTCAAATACAGCTCATTGAAAAATCAGTTGAATATTTTTGTACAGAGTCAGCTATGTATCGGAATATATATATATATATATATATATATATATATATATATATATATATATATATATATATATATATATATATATATATATATATATATATATAAATTTTTTTTGTTAAATCTGGAACAACAAAAATACTACTTTGAGGCTATTCGTCAGTCTAGGCTGACCGTCAATTTGCCCCTTTTCTCCTCTAAAACCGCGTAACCAATTAAAAAACTAATTCAGCTCATTCCGAAGGGAAATCAAGCTTGACTAATAAACGACTTTAAGGTTAATCTTTTCGAAATTTTGTTCATACTTAAACATAAAACCACTTTGAAAAATACCTTTAAGTGTTTGTTGTTTATGGATAATGAAATCAAAGTTTCTGAAAATTTTAAAACAACAAATTTTATTCAAAATATAAAATTCAGTTATTTTGAATTAAATCTTTACGATATATAAATTAAAGACATTAGCAATTGTTTCTCATTAGTCTTTATTAAATACATACACATCATGGTTCTAATGATCTCTCTGCGTATTTTAATGGATCATAGTTTGGAGGAAAACAAGTTGAACATTCGTTAACATTGTGGGCTTGGCAGAAATTCAGATGAAACAAGTTGATGTTTAATTAGCCATTATCGTAAAGAAAGATTTGTATTGCTTTAGAAACCAGGAGACTGAAAACATTGTAGTGTGCATAATTTAGAAACAGATGTACGATGTTAATCTTGATTATATTGAGACAAATTTTGGGGATTTTTTTACAAACATGCTATGTAGTTGGTTTTTTTTTTAAATAAGTCCACATTTTCTTTGTGTACTGTTCTCTCATACTACAACACAAACTTTTTTCTACTTAAAGAGAAACTTGAAAGCCGCCGTAAGACATTGAAGGAATGTATGTATTTTGTAACTATTCTAAATAAGATGAAACAATTTATTACCTATGAACATGTATGTCGTCTTTTTGGAAAGGCCATTTTAGACTTCAAAGTGTTCTTAATATCTCCTACTTTTTCTATCAAATGATAGAATAATCGTTATTAAACTAGATTCTTTTTTTCTTCAAATATCAACAATCGTTTTTTCGATTTATTAGCTAAAACAGTTTGGTTAATATTAAAGGTTATCGAACATGCGAAATTTATACATAAAATGTCATATTGTTTATGATTGCGACCCTATATAAGCAATTTTGACTTTGCATTATGCACCTCAAATAGTCAATGTTATTTCTTTCAAATAAGGATTCTTATCAAGTCATTATGTTTGTCCATACAATCAATATGCGTAGCCGAAAATATTCCAGAAACCGCTGCATTCATCATAATATAGTACGCATGCTTATTGCTCTTACTTGAGGGTATCTACATGGTAACTAAATCTTTCTACTTAAGCGAAGTAAATGTTGAAACATTTTATCAATTTGTCAAATGAATAATCTTCTTTAAGATAAAGATAAATTGTACTATTTCTTTGTGTTTTGAATTTCATGACATCAAAGGCACATTTAAGATTAAGATCTATTGCTTATTGGCCATTGATTGTGCATTAATAGGCAAGGCGGTCCGAATACTTGAAATACAAATAGCAACAAGAACCATGTCAGCATGTCCATCCTCCGTCGAATGTGTTTGCTCATTGGAAGAATGTATAAGTAGTAGAGCAGAATAATTCCATTTAAAGAGGTCTTTTGGTAATGGAAATTGATGGTTGAAGTGAATACAGATTTGAAACCTATATGAATACTGCTGGCTGCAAATAACAATTGGCAATAGCTGATATATTATGCAAGGTAGAGTTATCATTCTTGTGTGCTGCACTCCTCCTCAATGAGGTATATCCACCTATGAAGTTTCAAGTTGATATCTCTAACGCTTTTTGAGATAAGCTCCCGACAAAAAGTATGAAAAGTAACAAAGGGCAATAACTCAAAATTTTAAATAGTAGAGTTATCATTCTTGTGCACAGCATTCCTCCTCAATTAGATAAATCAACCTATGAATTTTCATTTTGACATCTCAAAGACTTTTTGAGTAATGCTCAACTCAGGTGAAAAATTAAGTATGAAAAATAACAAAGAGCAATAACTCAAAAATTATAAGTAATAGAGTTATCATTCTTGTGCACTGCACACCATCTGAGTGACATCTATCCACCTATGAAGTTATGATGATATCTCAAAAGCTTTTTGAGTTATGCTCTGGACAAAAATTAAGTTTGTAAAAATAACAAAGGGCAATAACTAAAAAATAATGCAGGATAGAGTTATCATTCTTGTGTGCTGCACTCCTCCTAAATGAGATCTATCCATATATGAAGTTTCAAGTTGATACCTCTAACACTTTTTGAGATTTGCTCCGGACAAAAAGTATGAAAAATAACAAAGTGCAATAACTCAAAAATTTTAAATGGTAGAATTATCATTCTTGCGCACAATATTTCTCCTCAATAATATCTATCCACATATAAAGGTTCATGTTGACATCTCAAAAACTTTTGAGTTATGCTCCACTCAGGTACAAATTAAGTATAAAAATAACAAAGGGCAATAACTAAAAAATTATGAAGGGTACAGTTATTTTTCTTAAGCACTGCACACCTCCTGAGTGAGATCTATCCACCTATGAAAATTCATGTTGATATCTCAAAGGATTTTTGAGTTATACTGCAGACAAAAATTAAATTTGAAAAATAACAAAGGGCAATAACTGATAAATAATGCAGGGTAGAGTTATCATTCTTGTGCACTGCACTCTTCCTCAATATGATATATCCACCTATAAAGTTTCAAGAAGAGTTCTCAAATACTGTTTGAGATAAGCTCCGGACAAAAAGTATGAAATATAACAAAGTGCAATAACTAAAAATTTTAAATAGTAGAGTTATCATTCTTGCACACAGCATTCCTCCTTAATAAGATCTATTCACCTTTGAAGTTTCATGTCGACATCTCAAACACTTTTTGAGTTATTCTCCACTAAGGTGAAAAATTAAGTATAACAATAACAAAGGGCAATAACTCAAAAAATCATGCAGGGTAGAGTTATTATTTTTGTGCACTGCACACCTCCTGAGTGAGATCTATCCACCCATGAAGTTTGATGTTGATATCTCAAAGGCTTTAAAATTAAGTTTGAAGAATAACAAGGAGCAATAACTGAAAAATTATGAAGGGTAGAGATATCATTATTGTGCACTATTCCTTAATGAGACCTATCCACCTATGAAGTTCCAAGTTGATACCTCTAATACTTTTTGAGATTTGCTCCGGACAAAAATGTCGGACGGAAGGACGGACGGATACAAGGACGGACGGAAAGACAGATGGACGGAGACTATTTCTATATCCCCCGCCGCCTTTCGGCGGGGGTATTTATTAATTATGACTACAATACATTTACCGTCACCTTTAGCAACAGTGATTATAAAAGAATACGTTTTCTTGAGCGAAAAAGCACAATAATCGTTTATAACAACAGCAAAACCCAACCAGAATAATCAGTGCATTCAATGATCTTGAAAATTAATTGCTAAAGCTGTACTGCACAGAAAAAAGAAAACAATGCTGACATAAGATTGTTTATAAATAGATAATAGATAACGAATGACGTGTTAAATAATTGGAACACATGACCTCCCTGAAACTATAGTTATCTAAAATCAATAAGAACAAATATTAAATAACTCGGTTTCACAACTTAGATAACCTAACAATATTTGAAGTCTATACTTCCTGATTTAAATATCAAAACACGCAACGTAAGGAGACACTTGGTTCACATTCAAAAAGATTCGTATTTACATTTCAAAATCACTAACTACATAACAAAATTGATAGGGAAGAAACTATGTATGTTTGAAATAATAAATAGTTCTTCAATGACAGCTCATTATCTGATTTGATTATACCAAGAATGAAATGAGCAAACATACCGGTGTGTGAAAACGTGTTATTTTATGTTTTGTTGATGACACAATGGCATTGGATCAACGACAAAAATAGCTTGCTTTTATAGTATGATGAAAACAAGTCGGTAGTTAAACTTTGAACACGTCGAATACACTTCAAATATTTCGATCACTGTCAAAGAATATTTGTTAACTAAAACAAAGTGAAATGAAAATGAAATTTGTGCAATAAGTCTGACATATGGTTCACACAATAATTTGGTCCCAATGGTATATTTGTCAGTTAGCTTCGTCAAGACAAATTGTTTAAACATCTGCAAGAAAATCTTTCTATGTATCCCCTTTCCACTTGTGACATGTATTATGTTCGAGGGTTTCTGAGTTCAGTCAAAAATTATTAATTTGAATTTGATACTTTAAAACTTAATTTTACCTAAGTCTGCCAATTTGAGGACTGTTCTTCTACAAAATAAAACCTTAAATATGCATTGAAGTGTTTCAAATGCACTTAAAGATGGACTAAAATATTAAAAAGAAATTTAATTTGAGAAAAATGTATTAAGATTTTAAGAAAAGTAAACCGATTTAACATTCAAGTAATAATTTACATGTTATGTTCGTTTAAAGGCGGCTTTGTAGTATTAATCACGATACCCTTACTGCGTTTTTATCTCAGTAAGGGTTATTTAAGTTTTCTTTGCTTTTTTGACCTATTGTTGGTAAGCAAGCACTGTTTGCAATGTGTTAATTATTTTCTTTGTTCACTTCAGAATATTTAACTTTAAAATATATTTGTCACGGTTCAGAATTGTTCAGTATTTAGGGGATGTGTCAGCGGCCGGCCAGATAGCTCTGTTGATAGAGCCACAGAGCGGTATTCCGAGGGTTCCGGTTTCGAGTCTGGTCAGGCTGCACAGATTTCTCACCCGGTGACATTTTGCGCCCAACGCAAGGACCGTTACTGCATATAGATCAGATTTTAAATAGCATTGCTCTGTAACCTACAGCGGGGAAGTATTTAACGGTTCAGAACTATTCACTGTCTAGGGGAGACGGCTTGTAAGCGACCAGATAACTCAATCGAGAGAGCTGCGGAACGGTATTCCCAGAGTCCTGGGCTCGAGTCCCTGTCGGGCTGCATATTTGTTCACCCTGAGACATATTTATAATTTTCATGAAAATTAGCATGAATCTGATGTCACACCGCTTTAAATTAACTTTTAACCCACTGACTTTGTGATATGTATTTGTCAAGCTTTGTATTTTGGATTTTCTTCAAATATTACGGGTTGAATCAAACTCAACATCTCTTCCTGTTCAAGCAAGTTAATGTTTAAGAGAGGAAATTTGCAATGGAATTATTTCATCAATGAATTAATAAGAAACTATGATGATGCCTGTACAATGCTGTATTGGACTGGACTTTCATATCTGCCACAAGTAGCATTGTAAATATAAACTGCACATATATTTTCAGATATGTTGCCTTTATTATATCTCTTGGTTTGGTCAACCCATACTGTCGTCAGCTTAGATGTAAGTAAATTAATGATAACATTAAAGGAGGATAAAAGAAAGATTTACTAACTTTAACTTATTTGCTGTTTTATAATTATAAGTCTGTGTTATATAGTAAATGATTTATTAGGTATAAAATGTAAAAATGTAATATCCATGATTTAAACATTTTCACTAGAAAACTATTAAGATTTAAATAGGGAAATTTTTATTGTCTTAATGTGCCTTAATTATAAAAAAACTATATTTGCTTTTTAATTAACTATAAACTTGTATATTAAATAGATTGATACTGACATTAACCTAAGCTCAGACTTGAAAGGATGTCTGATCGCAAATCCGTCGGCGGTCAAATCGTGTAGAAATAAGGATGGTATTCCCGTTGATATAACCGAATCCAGTCTTCTACAAAAGGGGAATACTTGCATATTTGAACATGAAGAATATCCGGTGGTTTGTCAGAATGGAATGATTACTCTCACAGCGGGTGGAAAGTTTGTAGAAGGTAAAATATGAAGAAATATTCACTATAAATATTGCAATTATGAATGAGAAGAATCTGCACCTTCAAGAATTGGCTTATAATCTTTTCATAACATAAAGTATCTTTCTATGAGCAAGGAAAAGTCATATAGATAATGAAGAGAAAAAAAACAACAACAAAAACACAACAAAGTACGATTTTAGATATCTATTTATTTCATCGCCTAACTTGGTGGTATGGTATAATTTAAGACTTTCATAAACAGACATATTGAAGATATGTATGAGATCTTCGGCTGTAATTTCTAAAAGTTTTCATTGTTCTCAAAGAATCTTCACTTCCTAGATTCGCTTTTAATCATCAGAGCAGGAGTATCAATGATACGTTTAGATAGCATAGAACGTCATAAATGAAGACAATTATGAAGAACCTGAAAAAGGCGGAAAAAAATAAGTATTAAATGATATTCATTTTCAAAAGCCCATTCACAAATTGGACGGTATGTATATTTACGACCCTTACAATTATCTCGTCCAATGTCTATCGACAAGCAGAAAAAGTGTCAAGACAAAAAGAGTATCCATCATTTTTACAGTTGTCCACTTTAATTAATAAAAAAAGGGATCTGTAAAGAAGGATTTCTTTTGCGATAGCGAGATCTAGTGGGATAAAAAATGAGAGATGAATATTTGTTTTTAAATCATAATAATTGCATTTTGCCATGAGAGAGAGAGGGGGTGGGGGAGGGGGTTGGGTGTCTTCATTTAAAGTATGACATCTTAGTATTTATAGGTGACTAATATCTAAGGTATTCTAAGGAAGATATAAAGAGGCGGCATGTCCTAGTGGTAAACACGTCGGGCTAGTTATCTTAATATCGCTATCCGCGTGGGTTCGAAACATGTCAGGGCGAGCCGTTATTTTTTTAGCAAGAAATTTAACACTCCTTGCTCAGTACTTGTTGTTTCCAGGAACGGGTTTGAAAGAATGTGTAAAATGTATAGGCTTCCAACACAAACGAACTAAATTAAAATGCTGTATAAAGGAAATCAAATATTTAAAGTTAAGAAATTGCCTTCATTTTATTACATTTCTTAAATTTTTTAATTTTGTTGACTTTGAAGAGAGAACTGTGAAAAGAAAAAAAAGATTCTTCATTGGTGAACTGGTACTTGGCATCGCTTGCATTTTCCTATGCGGTAAGTTTGAATTAATTATGTTCTGATCGCACAGCCTATTAGTTTTTACTAAAATATGTTTTTAAGACCACGATTTCTCACAATTGTAAATATATACTCTATTTCATTTTAAGAAAACTTTAAAACTAAAAACAAACTTTTGTGATTGCTAGTGCACGGAAACTTCAGATAATTCTTCAAATGAATGTAAAGTGGAACAGTATGTAAATGGGCAACTGGTGGCGAATTTTAATATAATCTATTTACAGGCGGTTCTCATCAACATTCTACTCCAAACAGCCCCCCAATGATCACTAAGAATGCAGCACTAAAGGTAAGCACACCTATTTTTGCGCCACAAAGAAAATCAAGTGCCAGAGTGTATTGGGATGACCCCGTTATCACGGATCCAGAACAAGGAACGTTAAGGTAATTATATTGATGATATCTTTCTTTTTTCCAAGACACCTTTGAACATTCTTTACATTTAATCATTAAACATAGCCAGTGTTAATTTTGTACTTAAAATGGAGATTCAAATGCAGCTTAAAAACAACAAGCACACAAAAACAATTTTAAAAAACTCATAATTTCTTATAACTTATTGTAGATCCACATTCTACATTTTTTCATTTCTAGTAAGTATAGAAAAGTAGTCCATTTTTACAGTATGAATTTACAATTTATATCTAAATATATGATATGGAACATTTCATTTAATCTTACAAATTATCTTCAAGGATTATGACTTTTGATCGTCTTGAATATCTTCTTTGCAGAATCACTACTTCACCTAGTAATTTTAGAAGTGGTGGAGAATATACCGAAGGGTCTTATGTTATACATTTTATAGGAACAGATGGAGGGGGTCTTTCAGCATATGATTATCTAATGTTCGAAGTCAAAGGTAAAAAGATAAAATATACAAACACGTGTATACAAGCACGTTATGACATCACTAATTCAGACCCTCGTTGTAACAGAATTGTAACAGAATAAAGTACTTATAATCTTAACATCTATAAATGATGTTGACTTTACATCTTTGACGTTGTTGCAAAATTGAATAAAGCCAATTATATTTGTTCATAATTGTATAAAGAAATTATAGAAAAGCTGCGCATTATCTTCGCTTTAGCGTTTATAACTTTTCTTATCTTTATTCAATTACAAGTATCAAACATACATAATGTCAGTAAAACGAACCATAATTTGTGGTTCTGTGTCATGAGTACATGTAATTTATTAATAAGCAAAATTAACATGAGATAGGATCCTTGTAAAATTCTTAACACATATTTAACGATATAAGTGTCTTTGTGCAACGACATTGCGCTCGTTAGTCCTTTCTGTTATGGATACATTCATAAAACTTGTTTCGCTACTTCTATATTATAAAGAACGTTCTATGTGCCAGAACCGACTTTTATATAGTAAATGACTTCAATTTAACACCATCTCAAAATACAAAGTACATTGATTTCATTTGGCTGAAAATAAAGCTGATCACTAAACAAATTATGTTTTGTTTTAAAGTATATCGATGTGGACCCTTGCGCCGGCCTGAGAATGGCGACATCAATTGCGATAATGGAGACATGATATATGGGACGACCTGCACAGTATCATGTAAATCAGGATTCTATGTCAGTGGCACTAGCAATATGTTATGTCAAAAGAATGGGTACTGGTCCCCTGGCAGTACACCTAATTGTAAACGTAAGTGTGAATGAGTATGATACTTATTTCCAATAACTTCCATTATTTCTATTCCATCACGTGTCATATGTTTAAAATAGAGAGAAACATTTACCCAAGTTTGATTGAACCTTTCAATGTAAAAATAGACTAACAATATTAACAGTAACACAGAATATGTCTAATTTATATGCTAGCATGACGAAATGATGCCATTTCTTTCCTTTTACCTTTTTCCACGATGTATTAAAGGTGTATTTCAATACCATATTCTGCTGCATACTTATCAGAAAAAACCAACAAAACAAATTAATCCACATTTGACAAATTAATCAATAATGAAAATGAACCATCTGTCCTTATTTGAAACAAAACTTTACAATTTTATCATCTATGATATTTCAGTGTTGATTTCTGCCGACTCATGCATAGCAAAAATGTTTTCAATTTTGCATTTCTGTGTGTCTTTAAATGGTCTATTTTTAATATTCTAGCTAAAACTTGTAGAGGGTTACCAAACATATCAAATGGAAGAATTTCCTGTTACAATAACAAAATGGTGTTCGATAATGTTTGTGAAGTGGTGTGCGACGAAGGTTTTCGTGCGATAGGAAATCACTTGATTAGATGTAATTCTGAAGGTCAGTGGGGAGCTTTGCCTACATGCAAAGGTATGTTCCTTTTCTCGTATTCTTTTCGCAGGTTTTGTGTTTCATTGTGCCATGCTAATCGTTATCATTATTGTTTAATGGGTTTATTGGTAGAAAGTGTTTGTATATATTCAGATATTCTTCCTCCTACATTCTTACGCGGAGAGTGTCCTGATGATATGCAAGTTTACATTGATTCAACCAATAATACCGCAACTATAACTTGGGAAGTACCAACAGGAACAGATAACTCGAAGGAACGAGTGATTATTAAAGAAGAACATGGTTATGTCCCTGGACAACGTTTTAGTGCAGGATCATATGTTGTGAAATATAGTATCGAAGACCAAGAACATAACAAGGGAGACTACTGTAATTTCAGAATTGAAGTTTTGAGTAAGATATCAGATATGATCTTGTATATGATTCTATTCAGAATAATAACATATTTAATGTGTTTTATATCAAAACAGTGCTTTTCAACAACTTTGAGAAATCTTTTTACAAATTGAAATATTATAATTCTGTGAAAAGAATTGCTAACTTTTCAATTCCTGCATAATTTCAAACATAAATTTATAGCTAAAGGTAAAGGCATAATATATAAATACTAATTTTTTCATTTGCAGCCATCAGTTGTGAGCCTCCAAATCTGTTGGTGCCACATTTAGTGTATGAATGTCCAGATTCATATAGACTTGGGGCGTCTTGTTCTCTCCGTTGTAAATCTGGATATCCTCTAGGTGGAGCAAATCAAATTCATTGTCAAGTTAAAAAACAAGTTTTAATCCACCAGAGTACCACTGGAAAATGGAAAATGATGACAGTAAAAACCAATTCTGCAAAGGTTGATTCGAACATTGTTCTTTAAATTTAAATAAAAACAATGGAAAAACCTAACAAGTTAAATTAAAAATGCAACTGGGTTTAGCTTGCTCATTGGCGCCGTTTTGTTCCTTACATCTCGCTTCCCTTTCATGGGGCGACATTCTATTTATTAAATCTCGCACCGTTCCCCCGCTAATTAGCGTGTTTTTGCTCCACGCCCTCGCCATTTTTACTTGTTGATTCTCGGGTTGCGGGTCGAAAACAGGAATGGAACAAATCAGCCACCATTCTATGGTGTATTAAAAAGCAGGGATTAAAAATAAATCAACACACCACCGTTAATTCCGTAACAATGTTGTTAGAAAATTATGAAGATGTCCTTTCGATTTTCAGTGCAAAATACAGTTAGCCTTAGCCACCAGTATATAGCATGTACACCTACTGTTGGCTTTAGAACTGTTCCAAAATTCCATTAAAGAAATTCAGGAGGTTATAATTTAATCATTAATATGTATCACTATTATCATTTTGTAGAGACAAATTGTTCAAGAGCAGCTCTTGGTGAGCCTTTAAACGGTGCTCTTGCTTGCAGTGAATGGACACATGGTCAAATGTGTCAAATGCAATGTGAATCTGGCTATGATATTCCTTACATTGGGCTTGGATTTTTTGTATGTGGACGATCTGATGGTAAATGGAGACCAACAAATAATGTGCCTGACTGTGATGGTAAAGTTATAATATCACTGTTTCAATGTTTTAATGGAATAAAAGTTTGAGAATTTGTGTGTGCGTTTAAAAAAATTCTATGAAGATGATTTAATACACGTGTCACAAAAAGCTGTGCAAAACAGTTTTTAACAATACATGTTTCAAATTAACTAGGACAAGTTTTTGTTTCAGTGAAAATGGTCGTCACACATATACATCTACCTGGCAAGTTTTACTATTATACCGGACACTGTAACAGTTCCGCTGAAAACATGAGACAAATTAAAGTAAACTTTGTACAAGCTTTAAACACATCAATGTTTTCCGAAGCCTGTCGTGGCGTGCCTGGATGTCGAGCAGAGAATGTGAATGTCACGTGCGGTCCTATTTCCGGACGCCACAGACGCGATGTTAGTACAAACATGTTTTTCACTAGCATATGAAGTAAGTTTGGGGGAATAAGTAGGAAAAATTTTTCAAACATTAGCGGGGAAAAAGAACAGAGACGTTATTTTAGAAAATAAAGATACGCTGACAATATTGTAGACTATCCAAAAAGAATTAGCAAAGGGTCCTGTTTTAATTAAAAACATAATAAACACAAACGTTAAATAGCAATTCGTACAGCCCTGGACAACCAGTTTTGAAATGTCCACCGGGAACAACACCTAGGGAGTCATCTGCGACTTGTGGTGAGTTGTATCTTTTTTTTTAGTTTCGTTTAATAAATGTTTTGTTTATTTGGCATATTAATCAGAAATCATTTCAAGACTATTACATTAATTGAAATGACAATATTTCTCACTCAAAACTTTTTTTGTGTTCATTAAATCATAGTAGGTGATACTGTTGAACACATTTTGAACTTAAAAATCATGGAAATTTAACACCATGTTACTTTTAAATTGGTGGATTTTTTTCTATCCATTGTTTTTGTTTTGCTCTAACGTAGTCATTGGACTTATCATTAATATGATTATAATATTAGAAGTAAAAAAATCTATTTGTTTTAATGCGTAATGAAAAAGGGCATTCTTTTCCACCGCAAAGAGGTTCAAAACTGGGATTTTTTGATAAAGTATAACCTTGTACAGGTACCAAAAAAGTGTCAGCAAACCGTAAAATGATTCTTCCGATGCCAAGATAAATTGTCTATCACAACTTATCTTCACATTAAAATCTTTAGAAAATGAGAAAAAACCTTCAACTCAAAACTAATGCTTAGAAGATATATAATTATAAGATTGAAAAAAGTAATAAATACGATATTCTCTTATAAAGTTGGATGTCCGAAAGGAAGCTATATGGAAGCAAACGGCGTTTGTGAAAAATGTACCGTTGGCACTTACCAAAACAATTCTTATGCCACGACGTGCATTCCTTGCCCTGAACAATCAAATACAACAGGAACCGGTTCTGATGATATTGAAATGTGTCTTGGTAAGACAAAGTATATTATGTGAATAATGATAAAATATTTTTTCTGTTGTATTAATATACGTTTTATTCTGCACGCAAAAAGTAAGAAGTCACCAAATCACATCGAAGCGTTGTAAGCATTTATTGAAAATAATGAAATTGATAAAATTGACCGTGTTCTCATTGGCAGCATATTAAATTTGATATCTATGAACTAAAGATTTCATTTGTTTCATAATTAAGGGTATTGCACCGAAGGCCAGTTCTCCCAAAACGGTCTTACCCCTTGTGTCAAATGCCCAGTAAACCTGTCCAGGCCAAAACATGGAGAAAGTCGGAGCAAAATGGTAAAGGATGCATGCCGGTAAATAGAGTTAAAAAATGGCGAACGTCAACTGATCAATGCATATAAGATCTAGTCGTCGTCCGGTATAGGTATTGTTATGTTTTTGAGTGTAATATATAAATACAAATAGGTTCTTGAATTCAGATTGGCTAAAACACTTTGTATACTATGTATTTGTACATCGTAACGTTTAACATTTTAATTGTGTGCAGAGTTTTATTGCGTTTTGTTATTCATGGAATATTTATCTATTCAAATGTTATTAGTTTTTAAAATTTGTTAAAAGTTAAAGAATGAAGACCCCTATACATAATCTACATGTCATTGTTAATGACGTGCATTTTTTCCGCGCTTATTTGAAAACAATTCAAAGTTGCTAGGTTTTCTTGTGAATTTGTGATCAGTAACAATTTTCTTTATTATAAATTCAATTCGTTTTTTCAGTTACGGGGAAACTTTAAGGGGGAAAATATAATAGTTTATTTGTATAAAAAATAATATATAGAAAAATCGTTAAATTGCTGTCGACTTTGGTTTTTAGTGTTTTGGAGACATTTCTATACGGCGATAAAAAGATAAACATTGTTGAATCAAAATTAGAATTTTTTATAATGGATCCACAATATCTTTAAAATAAAAAAAATTTTTTGGATCTTATCAATTTGTCGAATTTAAACCAATTTGTTTAAACTAAAAGTTACAGAAACCCTATTTTACAAAAAAAAGATTTTATATTTATTCATTATTAAGAATACGATGGTCGTCTATCATCTGGAAAACACGATAAGACGAAATTTGACTTTTTGACCGTTAAAAACTATACACTGTAGGGTTTACCAGTTGGCCCACAGAGAAGTTTATTAAACGCCATTATTTCAGTTCGAATTATATGGAAAATCTTAAAAATTCCCGGGAACCGTCAGAAGTATTACAAATGTTCACCAGTAACATGCATTGCGACAAAATGGGCAAGTACATGGTCCGACAACATTTACATATGCAGATGTTTCCATTAGAAGGAATGCCATACAGCATGAGAAAGAAAATTTCTTGCACTACAACATTTGTACTTTTTTGATATTTTAAACAATCTATTACCTACAGATGGTGACACAGCTATCGGAAAAATAAAATGTTTACAACAAGTCTAATATCTAAAAGAACCATTATCCATTTAAGAAATGAATGAAGATACAATAAGCACTGATATATGTATTTGTATTGTAATGTGGACATTTATCTAGTAGAAGGAATCTTATCTTTAGTTTCTAATGCTCGAATTACATATTTTAAATGTTTTAATGCATTGTAATATGACTTGTATCATTTATTAGCATTTTTCTAAATAAAGAAACTGTCCGGAAAAAAATAACTTAGTAATACTCGTTCAGGGACTTGAACTTGTATAGTAAACAAGTCGTATTTAAAGAGAAAAAAACATCATATTTTATTCTGTTTCATTTTCTAATTTCATCGAAAGAAATTGCACAGTTTATCATTATATCATTTAAAGCAGATAATAAAAAGCATTGATATATAAAATACAATTAACAAATCAAATTAATCATTTGATCTTTTTTTCAGAAGCTTGCGACCTGAAAATATAATTCCACTTGCGAAATGGACGAGCGTTGTCGTCAGGTTAGATATACGTGCAAATGTTCTTTCCGTGTATAAAGATGGGAAATATTGTGTGTCAAAATTTTTCCCTAATGTCATTTAAATTATTTTAAAATCCAAAGCAGTCATCGAGATTAATGGAGGTTTTAATGAAAATTGTCACATGAATTAATTTGTTTAAAAAAATTTCTCTAAGGGAAATAATAAAAAATTTTAAAAAAAATATTCAAAACCCTGTTTTGGAAAACCCTTTACTTGACAAATTGTGCGATGTTGTGGCTTTTTTTTGATCTAGTTGTTTAATATACATACTAAATGGAAAGAGAGAGAAAAGGTTTTTCATTCAATAGAATTGCTTTGGTAATCAAAATTTTGGGGAGTCAAAAACATATCCATTACAAGTTTAAAAAATTTTAAAATCATGAATGCCCAAACCCCAAAAGTTTTAAATTTAAAAACCCTTTGGACTAAATGTTTGTTCGAAGGGGTTTTTAAACGTATTCAAATACTGATGTTTTCTTGAAATAAAGTATATTAGCACTAAAACTATAAATATCAAATCTTACAGCATTTTTCCATCGCATTAAAACGAGTTTCTTTTTGTATCTTAAAATAGCCAAAGTATGGCGGTTTTGTTTTGAGAAGAATTACCAGGTTATAACCTATAACATACACATGGACATGCGCAAGTGATAATAATTATTGTGATGCTTCTTTGTTTTGTTTTATTTATTCATTTATTTATTTATTTATTTATTCATTTATTCATTTATTTATTTATTGTTGTTTTGTTTATTTAAGGTTGTTGTTTTGTTCGTTTTTTGTTGTTGTTGTTGTTTTTATTTTTTTATCAGTGTATTTGACTACTCACATCATTTCTGTGAAATATTATTATAAATATTCCATAAGTGCGGAAAAAACTCTTATACATATACAATTGTGATCTGCATGATTATAAAGTATTTAGAACAAGATACTGAACGTGAAAAGTGATGTTGAACTAAATACAAAATCATGTTATATATATAACATTTCACATGTAATAAAATATAGTACAATTTACATCAGTACAATTGACAGTAAGTAAAGATGAAACAAAAAGTCTCTACGGATGACCGTTGTGTTCATATTTAAGTACAGTTTTAGAAAAAAAGAAAAAGTGTCTCGTTTTTGCTCTATGTTCAGATGTGAAAGTTTCTTCGTTCAAAGTAATTCCTAGAATAGCGACTACGTCAGAGATTTCGACCTGGTCCTCAACTTGCAAACCAAACATAACTGGCGAGATAATGTCTATGGATGACATTGTTGACACTGGGCTTGCTCAAATTATTATTCCCTCCGTCTGCGATGGTATGAATAAATCATTTCTAATTTAGTTTAATTGCATTCAAAGGTTGACAAAATGATGGACAGAAAAGATGTAGCAATTATAGTGTCCTTGTTTGTTCTAGTATTCAAGCAATTAACTTCTCAGTGTTTACTGTTTTAACTATCAGTAAGAATTTATAAACCTAATGTCTATAAGCCATCCGATTTTATAGTTCACATGTCACAAAATAACGGCTTGATTCATTTATACTTCAGTTTTTTTCCAATGTATAAATAATATTTGAACTGATTTGTAGATGTTGACGAATGTGCAAATTCCCCATGTGGTACCCACAAGTGTATAAATATACGTGGTGGATTCAAGTGTGAATGTGAAAAAGGATTCACTGGCAGTCAATGTGATATTCTTATCGACCTTTGTGAACAAAGCTTGTGCCAGAACAATGCAACATGTGTTTATGGGAAATTCCAATTATTCATGTCAGTGCCCTAATGAATATGGTGGAGCCTTTTGTCAAGTAAGAGCAGGTATGGGAGTATAACTTTTATTTTTCAAAACAACCTTAAAATTCTCTTTTTTTTTTCTGTTTTGGTTTAGTTTCTATTTATGATTTCAAAAACCTAAGTACAACATGTATCGAAAGGACATAAGAGTCTGTGGTGACTCTATTAAAATTAAATTTTTAGGATATACATGTGTATTTTTTTGTAATTCAGTTTTGCCTTATTTTTGCCTTCATTTCTGGACACTCATAACTGACTTAATTGCATGTATATAAGTTGACGGAGCGTGGTCTGATTGGTCTGGTTGGACTAGCTGTTCAAAACCTGTGCTAATGGTATACAGGCAAGGACAAGAAGATGTGACAGCCACCACTAATGCACAAGGCACGGACTGAACGGAAAAGCACTGAAACAAGAACGTGTAAATATGGAAAACTGCCCAGGTAACGTGAAATAATAAACGAAACATGTTTCTTTTGCGTAGGTTTTATTCAACATAACATTTTTAATGCAAAATTTATTTGCGAAATGATAACCTCGATTTTCTTTTTTCAGTGAAAACAAGTTGTAATATCTCGAATGACAATATAAATAATTATGTACCTTATTTGAATGCAGGCACAACTTATATTTTATGTATCGTCTTCATTTATTTTAGAGTGCTTCGTTAACAATGACTCATGGGCTTAGAATAACTTGCAATACAACTACGATTTAAAGAGATGCACTGTATAATGTGAAGATGGTCTTTTATTTTCCGATTCCACCTTTGCCATACTATGATGTGGTGTTGCCGACTGGTTACAAAATGGAATCATCAGACCAAAAATAATCCTACTGCAAGGCTTCATCATGCACAGGTACGACTGTTCTAACATGCAACAGCCATATTTCATTCATTGTCTATGATACTTTGTACATGGTCCAGCAGACTTCAGTTTTAAGGTTATTATTAATTAGCCTAATCAGAAATATACTTACGATTTCGAAATGTGAGAAGCGCATTTGGGTTAATACTTAATTTATGTATGTATAAATGTATGTATGTATGTATGTATGTACGTACGTACTTACGTATGTATGTTTGTTTTGTTTGTATGTACACTTAATGACACAGTAACCTTCGAATTGTCTTCAGTTAATGAAATATGTATTTCGTTGATATGAAGACATCAAGTTAAAAGATCTCAGTAAAACTATGGAAAGTAAGCATTCAGTGTTATGAATCAGAGGTGTCAAAAACTGATCGAATCTGTAATTTAAATTCTGTTTTCAGTGCACATAAGGGGTATCCATTTTTTTTTAAATTTGTTTTTCGTCACAACAGGTACCACGTGCTCTGTGGCATCTGAAATTTGCCTCATGCTTAGTCTTTGTAATCATTAATTTTCTGTCTTGTTCTTTCGAATCATTTATTCCAATGAATTTAGTATTGAAAAAATAAATACTGCTGACCAGAACTAAAGTATGTAAGCAATATTTATCATGAACGTTACATTAAACCGAGCTTGTGATATCCGCTAGATTATTTTTTTATTTAACATGAGAGCGAAAAAAGTACATTGAGGGTAATGAAATTCTTTGTAAAGGTTACTGCAGTATAGAGTGAAGTGATCAAGTGAAAATATTTGTCGAATAGAGCAAATGTGTGGTCTTGTTGAGCGCTCCACCACGATAAAGTACCATTAGAAACATTTACTGAATCAAAAGACACGCTTCATGTTTTTTTACCGTTTTTTATGTCTTTTCCAGAGATAGAAATACCAAAACAATAGGTGTGAGTTCGAAAGGACATTATAACGTCGATACCGTGTAGTCCTGACCATATAAGATCCCTTAAAGGCCAACTTGAAGGAAACTTACAAGTTGATTGTTTAAGAGACGGAATCTGCAAAACTGAAGTGCTCCCGAAATGTAATAGTAGTGGACAATATGTGTCAGTGATAGTAAGTCTTAAAGCACCTGAAAATTACACGAACTGGGGTATCAATGTTACAAAAATAAACGGAACCAGTAAGTAACTGCACGATTATCTTTATATGAATCATGTCTGATTATGGTTATGTTTCATATGAACATTATACAGTTTCCAAAAAAAAAATTATCTAAATTCGCTTTTGTTATTTTTGTTATAATTTTATGGCGGAAGATAATGTTTCTGATATAAAAAATGAAATGTTTTAAACTAGTAGTATTTAAAACAATTTTGTAAAATAAAATGAAAGTTATTGATTTATAGAACTTGACCCGCATGGCAATAAAAACAATCAACATTATTGATTGTATTGTTTTGAAACAGTGTTTTAAATTTAATAAAATGACTTTTTAGAAACAACTGAATCTCACCCACAAATAATTCTTTTCAAATGTATAATTTGATTTATATAGCTTCACAACATAGTTTGGTGGATTTTGGAGAACAAGTGATACAATTTGAAACGTCTGCTAAGTACGTTATGAACAACTCTGCGCACGTTTTTCACGTAGTAATTGATGGAACAGATCATTCTCTTTCTGGAGGGGAACAGATGCTGAGTCATGAATCGTCAATGCGTTGTGACCCGGGTACAATTCCCATAGAAATGTTCTGTGGTATGTTCACATTTTTATAGAATTTTAAACTAGCGCAAAAAAGTGCTGGTTTTATTAATTATCTGGGAGAAAAAGTCTAAAAGGTTTTATTGTATGCTGTAAAATTTTTCTTTAAATTTTTTACACTACATTAAAACAAAAACATAATTGCGTTTAAACCAAACTGTTTAAGTTAATTTTGATGTGAAATGTGTTGTAGAGTAACTTTAAAAAAAATTTTATCTTCCTGAAAGTTCCGGAAATACACGAGGGTAAATTTCTTTTGTAAAGTGCGGCAGGCTATTCCAAAAAACATTCAGGACAGCCGATTGTAAACTGCCGTTTGGTTTTTACAATTGGGAAGGGGTCCAGAAAGTTTTGGGGTGCAAAGTGGTTTTCAAAACTTAAAAAGTTATGATTTAAATATATTTTTTAAAAAAATTAATAATAGAAAATAACGTTTAACAAAAAGGTTTTTTCTTGATAAATCCACTATTCTATTTAGAATGATTAAAAGTGAAACGTTCTGGAACGCTGTCTTGCCTTTTTATTTGATCTTCGAACTGTTATCGGACGTTGTTTTTCGTTACTTCAGATATGCATTACTATCAGTGATACCAGCTGGACATTACGTCAATAACACAGGTAATAATATCAAATCATCAAGTAAGATTCGTTAAGACACTTTTAAGTTGCTAATTAAAGCACATGTCCGTCGTCAAATCATAGAAAAGAATCATCGTAGCAAAATTGCTTTATTTTTCAAGCTAGACATTATTAAGCAATGAAAAATTGCCCATCTTAAAGAACATCTTACTGCAATCGTTAGTCAGGAATAGTTGCTAATTTTTTTCTAACTTCAACACCCCAGTGACACATTGTAACAATAATAAGGATATGTTTGCAACGATAAAGATGGTTTTCAATAATATAAGATTATTATAGTTACGGAAAACTTTTGTGTTTTTTATTGTATGTGATAAGTGCAATGACATACACTTGTTTAGACAAAAAGGCTTTTAAATGATCAAAAGTCTCAACTTTCTCCACGTTGATCTTAAACATCGATTTAGCTTTTAATGTCAATATATTAACTTTCAATTTTTTCCAGATGTGCGTTCAGACAAGGGTAGATCATTATGTTGACGGTCAAGGTAAAACACATTAACATATTTCATATTATGTTAAAAAATAAAAATACCAATATGGTACGACATTTCAGACTTTGTCAAATTTCCAACCAAATATTGTATTAATTTGAAACTATTGGGTACAAGTAAAAATTGACATGCAAAGAGAACCGCAATAAAAAAAGTAGGTAAAAATCAAAACACGCTAAAATGGAAATTAGAAAACATGTGGAAACTATTAACGCGATTTAAGACAATAATTTTTGGTCTTTCTGCGGTCGTGGATAACTGTTATTTTCCATTTCTCCAAAGTGAACCACTTATGATTTCTGAATCAAATGAGAGACAAATAACCATAAAAGTACTTTCTGCAGCTGTTGAACATCTAAATTGCTTTTAATCAGTATTGAAACATCATTAACACATTTTGACGTTTCAATTTTTTAAAGATATGTATTTTATGGAATAATGTGCCTTTAACCCCAAATTATGATCTCTGCTGGGCTAATTTAACTATTTTTGTTTACTTGGCTAACTTTCATTCTTAGTGTCTGCTTGGCTAACTTTACTGTGTCTGTTTATGTCTGATACACTAATTTATTATTTTTTGTCGAATGCAACGTTCGTTTTTTTTGATTTAATTTTGACGATAAGTTACTTTTGTTGCAGAAAATGTTGAAGTGACGATAGCTGTTTGGAGTATCGGTTCAACTGCTATTCTGTTGTTTGGCGTCCTTTGTTATCCATATTTCTTATCCATGGAAGGAGGTCACAATATATTTTGTTTGAGACAGGATTGTGACTATCCATTAAAATATATTCTGCACAATTTTAAATATTACTCGCATATAAAGAAAACAATTGATGCAGTTGTACAATTATCATTTTTATAAAGATCAATGTGTATTTACTGTTATTAAAATTTTATCTTATTTGTTAGCAATTTTCATTTTACAGAACTTTTATTGAACGGAACCCACAAGCAAAATCTGTCCTTTTAATAAATCTTAAAATAAAAAGACCAAAACAAACAAACAAAAATAACAAAAAAAAAGAAAACGCGACACTGTTGGAAAAAAATTCAATTTTTCTAAATAATTTTACATGGAGCATATTAAGAGGTTAAAGTCACGGTGGGGCGGGGATCCTCGGGACAACTAAAAGAAAACTGGACTGTTAATATTCCAAAACCAGCATCGTATCTTGTTTTTCTAAAATAATGGTTTTCATATATTTTATGTTACTATTAAGACAGATGAAATAGGATATAAATTTTTTAAACTGAGACAAACAGATTTTTTAGATTTTACAAGAGATTGAAACTGATAATTCGTGTCAAGGGGTGAGAAAAATGTGCAGCCTGACGGGGACTCGAACCCGGGACTTCGGATAACATTCTGCGGATCTACGAATGAGCTATCCGGCAAGCTAAACATCATCTTCCCTAAATAGTGAACAGTTATGACGTGACATACTTCACCACAATATAGTGAAATCGTCCTCGATTTCACAAAGCTACGAGCAGTGCAATTAACTCTGACTAGATGCAGTCAGGCCCAACGTTGGGGGCGCTGATTGTCGCAGCTCAACGAAACAAAGGCTCGTAGGTGATCTGTTGTGAGTTCTTGGACCTGGGGTAGAGGGTTGTAAAAAGACAAGTAATGCGCTACTCAAAATATTTTTCTTCACTACA